CCACCAAAGGGCCGAGCGGCAAACCAGTGTGCTCCTCACTAGGACACGCTTGCCACTCAGGCACAACAGGAATTGAGGTCGCCGACTCGCAGGCTTTCTCTTCCTGATAATTTCCTGACCTCTTCCCCTCCGGGGTACGTCACAAGCACGTTCTCCAAAACCCACCAACTTCTGCGTATGCACAACGCGAAGACTGTCCAGGCAGTAAGGGAGTCGAGGTAACGCCCTCAGGAAATGCCCTACTCCGCACCAGCTGCATTCGAGTAGCGACTCCTCCCTGCGTTATTGCCCCGCGCTGCAGGAAACATCTATTCATCCGCCCAACGGCACCACCTCTGATTCCCAGGATCACACAAGACTATAACCTCGCTCATGAGCCCGATGAGCGGGGGTAAGACGACTTCTCGTCTAGAACTTCACGAAACGAGGAGTAAAATCCCTCCGGGGAGATCACCACCAGTGGCCAAAACTATCAGTTCCCCCCGAGAACGCTTATCCTCCTACCCTAAGCAAGCGTTGCACTCCCCCGGATGCACACCCAAGTCAGGATAGGACCCATCATTTTAAACTTCCTAGGCCGAACGGCGTACTCCACCGGATGCGTAACATAGACTAGGCGAGTCTCTCTATATGTATCTAGTATGACTGTCTCACGGTTCGTTTCCTCAGGAAGCGCAATTCTTTCAATTAATAACGTACTTCCTTGGATACGAATAAGATCGAAGTTGACACCTAATAAGAGCTCCCCGCAGCTCATTTCCGCGGAAGAAAAATTCCCTCGACCAATAACGTGCTCCTCCGGGCAAACAAATAAGGTCAGGGTTGAGAGTCTGTTTCAGACTACTCCTTCAGCTAAAGGCGCCTTTCATCGCGAAGCGCGCCTAGGCCGAAGTCGATACCCTATCCAACTTCTTCGGAAGTCCGGACCATATAGATAGAATCACATTCCCTCGGGATGCGCGGCACAGCTCCGATAAGTCCCTAAGTCTCTTGTTATGATTTAGAAATTAGCGTTGCCCAGACCAATACCGTACCCCCCGCGGTCGTGGCAAGGTCTCCGCGTCAAACCAACTCATAAGTAGCATAAAATCTAGGGAATCGGATAACCATGCTCGTTGTACAGGGAATTAACGAAGGTTCGACTCCCTGACTCATCTATGGATCAGCTGAGAAATCGGGGACAACTGTTGGGACCCATTGTTCTGGGTCGAAAGAGAACTTGCCACGTGGACCTAGGCTACATTGAGTGCTGACACACACCACGCTAGCTCGGCTAACCCACTCCCGCGTACTATACCGGGGCAGTTGGCAGGTTTCCCCTAACATGCCAGAATCATTACCTCCCACCTGCTCCCCGGGCACGCATTTGGAAGGGACATGACAAGAGGACGATGAGTATAAATGAGAGGTGAGCCCTTCAAGAAAAAGGGGGGCCAAGTTAAAGTTAACTAAAGTTTAAATTTTCACTCATAAGCTAGCTTTTTGTGTCGAAAATTCTACCCAATTCCTATCACTTTGATTACTCTAATCTGAACACACTCATTTTCGACTTTGATTATTTTATTTTATGTCAGCTAAAGTTCAGCCGACCACCATCAATTTCTGCCAATAATATGGCAACTAGATAGATTAATGGCATTTCGTAATGAGTGCACGAGATTCTGCAAAATCGGTCGCGTTATCCTTGGACATAGTAAAATCGGTTTTAATAGTTACTTTTGACTTCTCGACTGATTGGAAAATGTGTCGTGAGGTTGACTTTTTCGGGTTTCCTGCGCAATGAATCATGAGTTATCCGGTTGGCTAAGTATCTTGCCGTGACAGGTCGTATTGACGCGACAATCTTGCCACGTATCCCGAAAGATACGGTACCAATCTGGGCGAAGCTAAGTTCTTAAAAGGAAATAAATTGTATTTAAATAGAGACTCGCCTGAACCGTGTCATGCATCCCGAGGGAGAACATTACTAGTTGAGGAGTCAAACTTCCGGAGAAGCAAACAGAATGTCAACTCCGACTCTGCCACCGGTCCAAAGGGAGTACGATTTCAGCCAGAGGAATCAGACTTCCGGAGATGCGAACGAAAGGAGGGTCTCAACTCTGACATTTTCGTATGTCCCGGGGAGCACATTATTGATCGGAGAAATTACATTTCTGGAGAAGGGTAACGTGAGATGGTCAATTAAATATATAATAAAGGACTCGCCCCAACTTCGCCACGTATCCGGAGGAGTGCGCTGTTAGTCGGGAGAGTTAGACTTCCAGAGAAGTTAGATGATTGGGTCCTACCCTAACTGGGGCACGCATCCCAAGGGGGTGCGGTACTTGCTCAGGATAGGAGGATATTAACGCTCCCGAAGGAACTTATAGCTTGTCCACGGATAGACATCTCTTCGGAGGAAGTTTATTCCTTGCTTCGTGGGACACTAGGCAAGGAGTCGTCTTACCCCCTCTCATCGGGGTCATGAGAGAGGTTATACTCTTATGTGACCATGGGGATCGATACAAGACTGCAACGCGGTTTAAGACATTTACGCAAAGACCAAGGGTGGTGCCGATGAGCGGATAAATAGACGGCCTCTGCGTTGCGGGACGCTAACGCAAGGGGGAGTTGCTACTCGAGTGCAGCTGGTGGGGAGTAGGGCATTTCCCGAGGGCGTTACCTCGAATCTCTTAATACTTGGACAGTCTTCACATTGTGCTTACGTGAATTTTTTTTGGTTTTAAGAACACGCTTGTGACATACCTCGTAAGGAAGAGGTTGGAGAATTTATCAGGAAGAGAAAGCCGCGAGTAGGCGATCTTAATTCATGTGGTGCATGAATGGAAAGCACGTCCTTGGGAGAAGCATGCTGTTTTGTCACGCGACCCACTGGGGGAGACTGGTAAGGAAGACCCGGAGGCCTGTGAGGCCGAAGTCTCAGAATCCACGAGGAAGGGTGCCCCGGAGGGAGAGCAAGTCCACGATGGAGCATGCTTATAACATGTGCTGTCTCCCGAGGGAGCTGACGCAGGAAGGGCCACGGGGGCCTGCTGGACCGGATTCCTGAATTCCCAGAAGAATGGTGTCCCGGAGGACAAGCAAGTTCGCGAGGGAGCATGCTGAAAGATTTTTTGAAGAAAGATGCAAGGTCAAAGGTGGTGCCCCCGAAAGGTATGAATATAGGCAAAAGACGAGTATCAATGGTATGCGAGCGGAAAAGAATATACCGTCGTGCGAGCAAGAAATTGTACAACCATGCAAGAAAGAAGTCACACAATCATGCAAGAAAGAAATCACACAATCACGCAAGCAAGAAATCACACCATAATGGAAGCAAGAAATCACACAATCATGCAAGCAATAAATTACACAATTCTACAAGCAAGAAATCACACAACCATGCAAGTAAGAAATCACACAATCATGCAAGAATGGGGATGGTTACGTTTGAACCATGGGCACGGGCTCCGTGCAACCTGCATCGGGGACTCAGGTGATCGGGCAGTTATGTTTGGCCCGCACGTGTGGATTCCGTGTAACCCGCTTTTGGGGTCGCAATTGCCTATGGACAGTTGATGGTTTTCCTGTTAGGGTACGATATTTATACCGTTACAATCGTTTGTCTGATGAGTTACCTTGCGGACCTACCCATATCTCTAGCCGTTTCTTGGGCTCTTTTCTAGGTGGGATTCTGGCGTATGATGAGTGCGTTCCACGTGGCGGGTCCTTATGGACTAACGCGTGATGCATCGCATCACACTGTGCGCCCTGTTTCCCACGAGCCACCAGTTGCTTTTCTGTCGCGAAAGACCATCCTATTCCTTCTTCATTAAATGCGCATCTCTTCAGTCGTGAGGCTCGAGAAGCCAATAATAATAAGAATGCCCCTGACTTCTGGTTTTCACTGAGTGACGCGATTTTTCCCGCGCGTCACTTTGATTTTTTTCCTCTATAAATGCCGTGGAATTCACGCATTGTGGTCTTATTCAGTTTCTGAAGCAACCACAGATTTCAGATCTTTGTCTTTGCTCCTTGTCTCTCTTCTCATTCAAATAGAGATGTCGGGTGCGAGTTCATTTTCCAATGAGGAGTATGAGGGTGCAGCTCAATCGCCCGAGGTGGCTTCTCCTTCTAGCTGGATTTCTTGGAGAGGGTCCTGGTAGCGACCAACTCTGCCTGCTCCACTCTATACCATATCTTTCCTGTTGGAGGGGATGGTGCGGATCACCCTCCTCCTCATTGCTTGGCGATCCACTTCGATTACATATCGTACGACTTCTGGGGCTATCTCCCCGATGCTTGTTGGCTTCTGCCGCTACGTCAGCATCTCCCCAGCCAGCTCCACCCTTCGGCATGGAGCCTTATTTGCACTTATCAGGTCCTCTCTGACCTGTCCGGAGTCTGTGTGCGCTGCTCCGCGGCGTTGTTGTCCTAGCAGCTCCGCAACCTTACCGCCAATTCCCTCCGCTACACCATGCATGCCAAAGATAGCTGCGCCGTCTCCATCTTCGGGGACCGCTCCGAAAGCCGCGACGACTAGAGGTAGCGGTTCTTCTTCTGGAGGGTGCCTAAAGACATCAACGTCCTGCTCACCTGGCGGACGCGAGGTAAATTCGCTGATCGCCATCACTCCTTTTTTCTTGTTTTCTTTGATTACTCGGTCTGACTTCAGATCTATAGTTTTCACGCTCCTAGGCTCCGCCACCCCACACTCCTACGATCTGATCAACTTGGATCAGCTGCTCGCGCTGGATGAGAGCTTCAGGTCGTTTGAGTTTATGCTCTCGCCGGTGAGCATCCTATCGAGCTCTCTCATCTTTCCAGCTCGCATGTGGCTTGACCCTCCAAGTAACTGTTCAAACTTCTTCATTGCTCAGGTTGTGAGAAAGCGCTTACTGATTCGGATTTGGCAGGCTGTCTGCGCTGACTTGAAGTTGTAATAAGTATCAATTTTTTGGTATTGTTCATGTTCATCGTCTTTATGTTCTTTATCACTGAACATTTTCTGTTTAAATTAGATGGAACGCACCCTCATTGCTATCAAGCCTGATGGAATGCAACGAGGAGTGGTAATTAAACACAAAAAGCCTTGCTTTCTACTTATTTCTTGATTGTTCATCAGGTGTATGTGTAGTTTCTTATTCATATGTCCAAATCTTATCTCATTGAATCACCAGATATCAGAAATCGTTTCTCGATTCGAACGCAAGGGCTTCAAGCTTGTTGGTATCAAAGTCATTGTTCCTTCCAAAGATTTTGCACAGAAGCATTACCATGACCTTAAGGAGAGACCTTTCTTCAATGGTTTGTGTGACTTCATGAGCTCTGGTCCTGTTATCGCCATGGTAAGATAAACTCTCCAATCTCCATTCAAGTTTTGGAATTTGATAACAAGCTCCAAAAAAGTTGACTAACATAACATGACACGTTTTAGGTTTGGGAAGGAGAAGGAGTGATCAGATACGGACGTAAACTGATCGGCCAAAAGATGAGATCAATCTGTGGTTTAAGCCTCAAGAACTTGTTTCTTACACCAATAACGCTGAGACTGATAGGTGGATCTATGGTGACAACTAAGTCTCGCACACTCTCTCTCTCGTCTTTGGTTTTTTTTTACGTTACCCAAACAATAAAATCAAGAAACAGTTTATTACGGATACAAACATATCCTCGGCTTTGATTTTCCCGGCAAACTCAATAATTAGAGCAGAAGAAATAAGTATGGGATGATTGAGTTTTGAAATTCTTGTTTGTACTGTTGTCTTGTTGAACCGTAATACTGAATACAAGTGTTGAGAATTCGACTTTCTATGTAGAAACAACACATTTGATCTATAATTTATTTTTAAGATTTCAGCTCTTGGTAACGTTTGGGCGAAAAAAATGTGGTATTTTAACAGTAAACCAATTTATTTGATCTATAATTTTTTTCGCCCAAACGTTACCACATTTGATCTATAATTTATTTGGTTTACTGTTAAAATACCACATTTTCTATTTATTTGGTTTACTGTTAAAATACCACATTGATCTATAATATATATTCAACAAAGAAAACAAATGGAAATTAATAATAAACTTTTTTATTATATGAGTTCTTTATTGATTGATATAATATTTGTTTGATAGCTTAGCTAGCTCAATCATTTGCCAATATTGGTGAAGAGTGTGGAATTTATCGTTATATGTTATTTGAAAAAAAAATCTTTTCAGTTTTATGTTTCATGAAATTTTGCAAATAAAAATTAAGAAACGGTGAGTAACTGTCTCTAATCACCGGTTTTTTAGTTAGGTTTTTACTTCAGTTTTTCTACAATATCGGATTACAACGAACAATATGGAACTCTATATCAGCTTTAGAAACTTGAAATCTGTTATAAGTCAAAAAGTTACAATTGTATAAATTAATTTTCTCTAGACGAAAGAAAACTGAGTCGCTCCTTAAGTTTTACTTTTGGCGAGAAAGATGTTCTCCAGTTCCAACAATACTATGATTCAGACTCATTCTACTTGATTCACATTATAAATATAAATGCAAAACAGTTGTGAGATTGTATTTTTATGTTGCTTACAACAATCTCAAGCATGAGACGCATTAGACTTCATTTGTGATAGTGTTGTGTATTATTTATACCATATGTGGCTCATCGCTATGTCTTTTTTTTTTTACATCCTCATTGCTATGTCTTTTGGATTTCCAAATATTTATGCTCCACTTATTTAAGTTTTATTGTTTATCACCAGTTTGGTTGTCATTAATTAATAAGTAAAATTTGTGTTTAGTTACGGCTGATTCCGTTTCTGGTGAGTCAGAGGCGAGATGATTGGTAACCGAGAAGACGATGACTCCATAAAATAAGCTTTTGTTTAAGCTTTATAATTAAATTTTAGTGTAATTCATTTTCAGTTTTTTACCTTTGTTTTTTTATTGAGAATTTAAGAATTATAAAAGTTTCTTTTTTATGTAAAATTTGAAAAAAATTTGATTAATAAATTATTTAATAAAATGACTTTAAACTATTGGTTGGAGAAGATGACATAACAGTTTTGAAATCTACCATTGGTTAATTATTTTTGCTGATGTGGTATATTGTCTTATTCTTATTGGTTAGTTTTTTTATAATTTAACGATGTGGCAATTTGTTATATTCTTATTGGCTGATTATTTTTGCCTATGTGGCACCACTTAGAGAGCAGGAAAGTAATCAGCCAATAAGAATATAAAAGAGATTATTCAATATACTAACTTTCTAATTCTATTAAATATCTGTGTTATTCAATTTTGCAATAGCTTTAATTGTATTATCATTTGGAAAGAATTTAAAAGAATCTCATTTAAATAGTAAAGAACAAATTCTTACATTCTATCTAATTCAATCATTCAATACCACCCTTTAAACTCTTGAATTTTCCCCTATATTAATACATTTAATTACGTTCTCCCCTCCCCCCCCCCAAACCCAAACTCTTTTTCTGCTTAATTCCACATGTAGCGTTGAAATCTTTAATTGCGATCAAATCCATAAATTCGCGGTTAAAAATTAGCGATTACCCGTTTAATAATTTTATCCGATTACAAATTGACTAAAAGTCAAAATTACAATTGGGAATCAGGTGTTTTTCTTCCTCTTCGTCCCGGGAGAAAGACGTTGTAAGTAGTAAATCATCCAAATCTTGTGAAACTTGATGGTTATTTGATAGAGGTAAACTGTAATTCCCCTAAGTATTTGATAGATATCGAAACCAATGTTCTTAAAACACGGATTCCGTACTCAACCACTAAGAACCTTGATTCTTTGTTAAGATTAAGCGTAACTTGCTAGAGAAGATAAGAGAGAAGAAGAAGATTTCTTAAAGCTTTTATTGATATCGTATCATAACTTAATACAAATCTTTATGGAAACTAAACCGACACAGTAATATGGAAAACTTCTAGTTTAGAAAACCCAATAATAAAACTTAGTCAATTACGTGACTCTCTTAATTTCTATGTCAAATCTCCCCCATTTGAAGAACCTTGTCCTCAAGGTTTAAAAGATGGAAACCGTTGTTGCAGATCGTAAAGAAACTCCCATGTTGCTTCTTCTGCAGCTTGATTGGACCACTTAACTAAAACCATCGTAGCGGCTCGTCCTTGTCTTTGAACCATCTTCCTTTCCAAAATTTCTTCTGGTTCTTTGATGAGAACGTCCTGAAGGATAGAAGGTAACTGATTTGATCGTTGGAGCGGACCAACATGAAGCTTGAGCTGAGAAACGTGGAAAACCGGATGTATTTGAGAAGCTGCAGGAAGATCCAACTTGTAAGCAACTGGTCCACACTTGTCAAGGATCTTATAGGGACCAAAGTATTTTGGAGCGAGTTTCTGATTAGAGCGCAGCACCAAGGACTTCTGTCTGTAAGGTTGAAGCTTGACATACACCATATCACCAATGTCAAAGTTCTGATCCGTCCGATGTTGATCAGCGTTTTGTTGCATACGGTGCTGAGCACGTAAAAGGTGAAACTTCAAGAGCAGAATAATGTTTTCTCTGTCCTCCAAACACTTAGCAACCACTGCAACTTTTGATTCACCCGGGAGATACGTCAAATGTTGTGGAGGTGTTTATCTGTAAACAGCTCCATACGGCGTCATGTGAATTGTTGTGTGGTAATTTGTATTGTACCAAAATTCTGCTAAGGGAAGCCACTTACTCCAGAGATGCGGTCGATCACTACACATACACCGTAAATAAGTCTCTAAGCATCGATTCACCACCTCTGTTTGACCGTCACTTTGGGGATGATACACACTTGAAAGGTTTAATGCAACGCCTTGCAAACTGAACAATTCCCTCCAAAATTAACTAAGAAAAATAGCATCTCTATCACTTACAATAGATTAAGGGAAGCCATGAAGCTTAAAGACATTGTCGAGGAAGGCCTGAGAAACGGAAGCTGCAGTATAAGGATGAGAAAGAGCAATGAAATGAGCTGCTTTACTCAATCTGTCAACAACCACAAAAATTACTGTTTTGCCTAAGGATTTCGGTAAGCCATCTATAAAATCCATTGATATATCAGTCCATATCGTCTCTGGAATTGGTAGAGGCTGAATAAAACCCGGAGATGCTGCGGTATCGTATTTACACTGCTGACATACATTACAGCTACGAATATAGGCTTGAATATCCTTGGACATGCCTTTCCAGTAAAACAAGCCCTTAACTCGCTGATTACTGACATCACGGCAAGAGTGACCGCCTCCACGAGAACAATGTAACCACTACAATATTGTGTTGCGAATCGAAATATCCGAGGGAACCACTATCTTGCTCTTCCGCTAGAGGATATTTTGCGTCCAAGAGTAATGCTTGTTGGTCTGTGGATTTTGCTGCAAAGATTCGATAATTTCTTTGAGAGATAGATATGTGACATAAGAAGCTTGTATTCGCTGCAATAAGTTGCTGTCAAGCACAGACATTGCCATGTGTAGAACTTCTGCTCTTTCAACGCGAGACAGAGCATCTGATGCAGCTACATTAACGATGGTGTTAACCAGTTGTGACGTGCTCTACAATCTAGCATAATTATTATTTTCCTTTTCTTTATTAGATAATTATATATCCTAGTAGGATTTGGTTTTAAAGATTTGTCGTCATCTCGTAAGTCTTATATTAAGACTTCGACATTTTAACAAGCAGAACAACTTGATTATTGATTTGGTTTTATAACAAAGAGCTTTTTAAGCGCTGAGAAGAGCACTCTCAACCCTCTGTTTTCAGACTTGCAAAACAGAGTTCGATCCCTTCTTTACTTAGCTTCCGCCTCCCATAAGTTGGTATCAGACGAGGACGTTCTTGTTGCACTGATCTTTGTCGCGATGCCTCCGAAGAATAACGCTAACAAAACAGGAGGAAAAAATCACGGCAATGCACCCGATTGGACAGAACTCCGAACAAGACTTCTGGCGATGCAGGAAAACCTTCAATCGACAATTCATGCTTCAATTCAAGAGATGAGTGAAGCCTTGTTGACTCGATTGGATTTGAGTCACCCGATGCGTGTTGTCCAGGACAACCTGAACCCTTTCGCCAATCGCAGAGCCGAGAGCGAGGATGGTGATGGAGAAGATGACCACCATCACCGCGTCCGCCGCGATGAGAACAAGTGGGAATCCTCCTTCCGAGTTGACATTCCAGAATTTCAGGGTGGCATTAATGGTGATTCCCTCATTGATTCCCTCATTAATGGTGACATTCCAGTCAACAAAGTTTTGGCGTTTAAGAAGGTACTCGACGAGCGGTGTGTTCCTCTTGTTGCGACCAAGTTTCACGGTCATGCCGCATCGTGGTGGCAGCAACACAAAGCTTCTCGCAGTCATTCGGGAAAGTCTCCAATATGCTCGTGGGAGAAATTACAGAGACACCTCCGTAAAACATTCTTGCCTCATAATTACGAGCGCACAATTTACACTCATTTTCAGAACTTGAAGCAAGGGTCCCACTCAGTCGACGAGTATGCTGAAGAGTTCTATGTGCTCCTGACTCGTAACGACATTCATGACAGCAAAGT